TGAAAACAGTAGCAGCTACATTAGAGGCAGCAGCATAAGCTACACAAGCTCATGGTACTCGAAGAGACATTTTCAACTAAATAAAATTCCAGATCTCACAAATAAAATGAGGTACTTTAAAAATTTTTAATTTTAAATTTAAATTTAAATTTGAAATTTGAAATTTAAATTTAAATTTTAAAATTATAAATTTTAAAAGTAGAATTTTAAAATTAATACTATGTATCCAACTGCTATTTTATATCAAATTATATGAATATGAATATATGGATATTCATTCTAACTCATTTAATAAGATGTATAAATGCTTATTACAATGTGTTTTATATTGGCATGGGACACTTGCAAATATATATTCAGTTTCTTCAGTGAATTTTTAAATATGTTCTTTTAAGTTCTTGGATACATGTTCAGAATATGCAGCTTTGTTACATAGGTAAACGTGTACCATGGTGATTTGCTGCACCTATCAACCCATTATCTAGGTATTAAGCCTCTCAAGCATTAGCTCTTTATCCTGACGCTTTCCCTCCCCCTGCCTCCCCAACAGGCCCCAGTGTGTGTTGTTCCCCTTCCTGCGTCCATGTGTTCTCACTGTTCGGTTCCCACTTATAAGTGAGAACTTGTGGTGTTTGATTTTCTGTTCCTGTGTTAGTTGGCTGAGGATAAGGGCTTTTACCCCCATCCATGTCCCTGCAAAGGACATGATCGCATTTATTTTTATTGCTGCATAGTATCCAAGGTGTATATGAACCACATTTTCTTCATCCAGTCTATCATTGATGGGCATTTGGGTTGATGGTACTTCTATGCTATTGTGAATAGTGCTCCAATTAGCATATATGTACAGGTATCTTTATAATAGAATGATTTCTATTCCTTTGGGTGTATACCTGGTAATGAGATTGCTGGGTCAAATGGTATTTCTGGCTGTAGGTCTTTGAGGAATCACCACATTGTCTTCCACAATGGTTAAACTAATTTGCGTTCCAACCAAGAGTGCAAAAGCATTTCTATTTCTCCACACCCTTGCCAGCATCTGTTGTTTCTTGACTTTTATATAGGAGAGTAGGCTGGATGTGGTGGTGGCTAACGCCTGTAATCCCAGCACTTTGGGAGGCCGAGATGGGCAGATCACGAGGTCAGGAGTTCGAAACCAGCCTGAACAACAGGTTGAAACCTCGTCTCTACTAAAAATACAAAAATTAACTGGGTATAGTGGTGGCGTGCGCATGTAATCCCAGCTACTCAGGAGGCTGAGGCAGGATAATCGCTTGAACCTGGGAGGCAGAGGTTGCAGTAAGCCGAGATTGTACCACTGCACTCCAGTCTGAGCAACAGAGCGAGACTCCATCTTAAAAAAAAAAAAAAATCGGGGAGTAAATATTTTTATCGTCCTATTTTTTTAGGTGTTGGGTTAAGATTAGGCTAGGTTCATAAAATAAAATTTAATGGTTCAAGCAGTATGAATATATTGCAAATTATCTACACTTTAAAGTTAGAAACTCTTAGCTATATAACCAAGATGATTTTTAAATAGCATTTCTTTGTACTGGGAATATCAGTAAAAATGAATATATAAAAGATAATTTCATTTAAAATGCATATATATAGATGAATGTGTGGGAACAGTTTTATACAAATCCATATGAAGATAAAATTAAGAAACTTCACAATGTAATAGAGAACATAAAAGATCCTATACAAATGAAAAAATATCATTTTTCTGAATAAAAAGTACAAAAGCAAGTTGATATTTGTTAACATATTCATTAAATGCCCTTTCAACTTTCTGGTTTTTAGACATTTTTGTTTTGTCAGTTTAACAGAAGGGTATTAAACATAAGGAAAATGTGACAGAACTTTTAACATACTGAAAAGTAAATGTGCAAGAATTATTTTTTAAAACCTTGAAAAAGATTTTTGGTGAAAAGTGATTTACCCTAAGAGATAATAAAATTTACTGTGAAACGACATTTTGAGATTGTCATAGAATGAAACAAATAGATTGGTAGAACTAAATAAACCGTGTGGAAACATAGTGAAAGGGAAATTTCTTATATTTCAAAAATGGTGATTCATTTTAGAAGAAAAGATGTCTTATTTACATATAAATGAAAAGGTTTGTGCCTCTTTGAGGAAGATTCACCACATGTCCCTCTGGAAGTCACTAATAAATTATCACTTCATGGATAAGAATGTTGAGAGGCAGGTAAATCTGTAGTATGGAAACTGATTTCTTCCACATTCGAGGTGTTAATAAGATGAAATGAGCTCTTAGCACAGTTTGTCACATAGTAGATATCTTTAGAAAATAAATGTGAGTACCATTTACTCACAGCAAACAAACCTAAATCAAACTAATCCACTAAACAATATAAACAACATAACATATTTAGAAGGGAAATATAAAAGGTTTCAATGCCTTTCTTATTTAAAACAATGCCAATAACACAATAAATACAAGGAGATTTCAAAAGGTTCATGTAAAGTAAAATTAAAATATAAAAATTAAGCAATGGTAACAAAAGCCAAAATTGACAAGTGGGATCTAATTAAACTAAAGAGCTTCTGCACAGCAAAATAAACTACCATCAGAGTGAACAGGCAACCTAGAGAGTGCGAGAAAATTTTTGCAATCTACTCATCTGACAAAGGGATAATATCCAGAACCTATAAAGAACTCAAACAAATTTACAAGAGAAAAATAAACAACCCCATCAAAAAGTGGGTGAAGGATATGAACAGACATTTCTCAAAAGAAGACATACATACAGCCAACAGACACATGAAAAAATGCTCATCATCACTGGCCATCAGAGAAATGCAAATCAAAGCCACAATGAGATATCATCTCACACCAGTTAGAATGACAATCATTAAAAAGTCAGGAAGCAACAGGTGCTGGAGAGGATGTGGAGAAATAGGAACACTTTTACACTGTTGGTGGGATTGTAAACTAGTTCAACCATTGTGGAAAACAGTATGGCGATTCCTCAAGGATCTAGAACTAGAAATACTGTATGACCCAGCCATCCCCTTACTGGATATATACCCAAAGGATTATAAATCATGCTGCTATAAAGACACATGCACACATATGTTTATTGCGGCACTATTCACAATAGCAAAGACTTGGAATCAACCCAAATGTCCATCAGTGACAGACTGGATTAAGAAAGCATGGCACATATACACCATGGAATACTACGCAGCCATAAAAAAGGATGAATTCGTGTCCTTTGTAGGGACATGGATGCAGCTGGAAACCATCATTCTCAGCAAACTATCACAAGAACAGAAAACCAAACACCACATGTTCTCACTCATAGGAGGGAATTGAACAATGAGATCACTTGGACATGGGAAGGGGAACATCACACACCGGGGCCTATTATGGAGAGAGGGGAAGGGGAAGGGATGGCATTGGGAGTCATACCTGATGTAAATGACGAGTTGATGGGTGCTGACGAGTTGATGGGTGCAGCACAGCAACATGGCACATGTATACATATGTAACAAACCTGCACGTTGTGCACATGTACCCTAGAACTTAAAGTATAGTAAAAAATAAAAATAAAAAAAGAACTGACCTTCCAACATAAAAAAATAAATAAATAAAATATAAAAATTTAAAAAGCCTTTATTCCTGAAATAAGCTCCATCGAGCTCAAAACACTTTTGTAAGCAACGATACTAGCCATTTAGTTCATTGCTGCATAACTGAGGGTCCCGGGAATTTAATCATGTCAATGAGTTCTTTTTTGCATTACTAAAGAAAATGGGTGCCTTTTAAAGATTTTTTTAAGATTAAGAAACAAAAAGAGGTTCAAGGAGCCAAATCAAGGCTATGTAGATGCCTAATGATTTTCCATCAATACTCTTACAAAATTGCCCTTGTTTGATGAGAGGAATGAACAGGACCATTGTCATGGTGAAGAATAAATCTCTGGTGGAGCTTTCCTAGGCACTTATCTCCTAAAGCTTTGGCTACATATCTCAAAACATGCCTATGATAAGCAAATGGTTTTGCTCTTTGGCCCTTGAGAAAGCCAACAAGCAAAATTCCTTGAGCATCCCAAAAAACTGTTGCCATAATTTTTGCACTTTACTGGTCCACCTTTGCTTTGACTGGACCACTTCCACCTCTTGGTAGCCATTGTTTTGATTGTGCATTGCCTTCAGAATTATACTGGTAAAGCCATGCTTTATCTCTTGTTACAGTTCTTCAAAGAAACGCATCAGGAGCTTGATCCCACTTGCTTAAAATTTCTGTTGAAAGCTCTGATCTTGTCTGCAACTGATCTAGGTGCAATGGTTTTGGCACCCATCGAATGGAAAGTTTGCTCAACTTTAATTTTCAGTCATAATTGTGTAAGCTGAGCCAATTGAGGTGTCTGTGGTGTTGGTTATTGTTTCTACCATTAATCATCAGTCCATTTCAATCAGGGCACAAATAAGATTAACATTTTCCAAACCAATTGGTGTGGATGGTCTGCCACTGCAGGCTTTACCTTCAACATTGTCTCATCCCTTCTTAAAATGAGTTATCCACTTACAAACTGCTGATTTATTTGGAGCATTGACCTCGTAAACTTTCATAGAGAACTGATGATTTCACAATTCTACTACCCAACCTTCACCATAAATGTGAAACTTTTTTTTTTGCTTCATTTTAGCAGAATCTGTTGCTCAAATAGGGGTTCTTTTCAGATTGTTGTCTTATTTTTCTTAGTGCCTCAAAGTAGATCCTGTCTACATATAACAATTTAAGTGTAAGTTCATTTTGGTGCAAAAAAAATTGAAATCCAAAAATAGTTTTTATAATACACATTTTTCATGAACTTTTTGCAGATCCCCAGTATTTACTGAACAAATTGTTGTGAAAATTCACAGAGACTTTTAATGATTTTTCAGTCATATATTTTTGAATCCAGTTCAATTTAGTGGCCAAATGGCAAATTGTTTATTGTGGCTGTTTTTTATCTTCAACTTTCAGTCACAAATTTGATATGTCTAACTTTAAACCAAAGATTCAGAGATAAGAAAGTTTTTAATTAATGATAATTTTGATCATGGTCTGTGAACTTAAAGAGGTGTTTTCTTAGAGTGAGTGTATTTCCTACAACACTGCCTCTGTGCTGCCACAGCTGTAGCCACTTCCTGTCTGTGATGTTGATTTCCCGCCTTGGTTCTCCAGCAGATGGAGGTCTCAAGCAGGTCCCCGGGGCTTTTGTACACCTCCCTCCGACGGTTCTCTCACTGTGCCCTCTCATTGCACAGAAATACGTTGCTGAGTCCCCCACTTGTGAAGCAGAGATGACAAGGTTGACGGATTTTCTTGCCTTCTGGAAGTTCAATGAGTAGCGTCCTTCTGTTGCATTTTGCTTGTCATAAGACATCTGAAGAATAAGAAAAATCATCTCTCCACTGCTGGGTTGCTTGTACCAGAATAGACCGTAATTTTGATCACTGGTGTCATATGTGCAGTCCAGAGTCACAGCCTCCTTTTCCTGCACGAACATTGCTGGTTGGGTTTGAGTTATCTTCTGGGCAATGCCAGATCCTGAAGGAAAAAAAAGAGAATTTGAAGGTTTAAGGATAAAGTGGGTTGGAACAAAGAAGTGCGATTTTTGTACCCCATTACCCCTCCTTCCCAACGTTTCCATAAAGATACTTCCAAGGTCCTTAGTTGAAACAGAAAGTCCATTCCCACTAGGCCATCCCTACCTAGCCAGAGTGAAGCTGTGACCACCTTCAGCAGGCTAGAAAGTAACATGTTTGATTCTTTTTCTAGACAAAAAAAAATCTTCTTCTTTATTTTCAGGACTCTGCACTGTGAGGTGAACCTGGCATGGTGGGAGAAGAATTACTGGGCCATGTGCTGCTGCTACTGCTGCCCTAGAACAGGAAACAGAGGTTTCCTGGTATAGCACACTAGTGTGTGTTATCTCGCACTTCTCTATGAGAACCTCACCCAATGCAAACTTTCTTTTGGATCAACCAACTCTTAATTTGTTAACAAATCTGAAAATAAACATGGTCACATTGAGAGGAAAAATGATCATTCGACCAACTACTGTATTTTATCATTGCACCTGTGATGGAACTGGGAGATTGACACGTATTTATGCCTGTAATGAATTATAGAGCCAATGTAAGATACCGTAATCCTCTAGCCTCACATCTATGTATGTTGTTGTTTCTCCTAAAGTACAAATACATCACATTGTGATAAGAAGGTTTGGACAAATCTCTGCAGATCTTTTGCATTATCTATTGATATAACAATATTCCTCCTCAATTCCAATGCCTATCCAGTTGCCGATCTTGGAGCCAAACTCAGAAAAACAATCTCTCTTTGATGAAGAGTTTAGAATTAACCCCTCAGATATCAAGTTGTATTTTAAAGGTCCCGTTCTCTTTTCTATTCAGTTTCAACAGTCAGCTCTGTTCATACGGATCATATTAGATATCAGAGTTTGGTTATAAGGTTATTAAGCCTTTGAATTTATATTTTTTCCATGACTTCAATTCAGACCCCAAATAAGCCCCAGCAAGCCACTCCGTTTTGTACGCCCAGCTCTGAAGAGAATGTATTCTGGGCAATCCCATATACAGGACAACTGATTATAGGATCACTGATTGCAACAAACTTTTCTTTCTGTGTGAATATTAAAGGCCATGCCCTAGTGATACCATTCAACAACATTGCAAACAACAAAGGTCATTGCCTTGCTACTGTAATTTATTTCTTAATATAGTAGCCATAGCTTATGGTTCTTGTCTTAAAATAGCTTATCTTAGCCTTGTCAAAACTGATTGAAGTATCTTCAGATCTTTCACAGGAATCACCATTAAATCTTATGATACCACATACAGTACAAGTTATCTGTTTTGTAAAAACATCCATTATTTTTTCTTCCAGTTGGTGGACTAATTATGAAATATTACAAATTTATCTTCATAGTGTTCAACTCCATTACACTTCTCAATCAATAAATCTTTTAATTGCATTTTTGTTATTTAAGAAGTGTCCATACCCAAACAGATATTTTGAACAGTCTTATATCAACTTCTGATTAACTAATTGAACAATTAATTAAACATTTAGTTAATTAATTGTTTTAATGTCTTATACTCAAAGTTGAAAAGGAATAACATGAAACTTATTATGTAATAACTACCCAAGACTCTATTATAAAATTCAATCTCTTAGAAGAAGTAAAATTAATGCAAGTAGCTGAACTTGCGACTCTCGTTTTTGCATGTCAAATTATGATAAATATAAACAGTGATAGTCAATGTTTTAACGTAGTTCACAACTTCCAAATATAATGGAACTGATGAGGTTTCTTGACCTTCTTTACTTCTTCTTAACCTTCTCGTATATTTCATGTATCTTTATAAAAATGGACACCAAATACTTAAATTATTTGATGCCTTGATGCTATTCAAACAAATTTCCTAATGAAGACAAAGTCCCATGTATGAAACGCACTTTAGAAGCTAGAAAAAAAGTACATGAGCAGAGGATCATGCTAAACATGCTTTTCTGACTAAAGTCCTTATGCAAGCACCTCTTATGGAATTAGTGGCACATCCATGGAAAATGTCAATAACTCTCTTAGATAAATTATTGATTTGTTTGATCAGTGATGATAAGATATATCAAGGCCAGAAAGGCTGTTTGGTGGAACCAAATGATTGTCAATGAACACTTGTTAATACCCCTCAGGGACCACTCATCACAGTAGGGACATGTTGACTGCAATATTAAACATCTGTGGAGAGACTTTTCTAGAATAGTAGGGAATGTAGACAGTTCATGTCCTTTTTGGAACCTCCAAAATTCCACGAAAACTGTAAAAATTGAATATGAACTGGAATACTGTCCTAAGGGAACAGTTGAGTATGTTTTAGACAGTTCTACTACCTAAGGGGTTGTGAGTATGCACTAGTAAGAGTTGTTTTATTTTCTACATGAGTTGAAGCACTCACCTGTCATAAAGACACAGCACCTGCAATAGCTAAATCAATTGATTTCCATGTCTTATCCGTGCCAATTCAAATTATCTATATGTAGAGGAACATATTTTTCTAGGACAGTTATGTAAGGTTTTGCTCTCACTCAGGAACTTTGCTTTTCTTATCACCTCCTGGTCCTCTGAAAATGTTGAAACAACATAGGACTATTAAGAATAAAATTAATTACCCTATCAGACATCTGTGAACTCCCATGGCCTAAAGCATTGTTACTTTTAGCTCTAACAGCCTTGCATTCTTCCGCCTCCCAAAGTCATGTGTCATCTCACTATGAACTGGTCACTAGTAGGCCCATATTACTCAGAATGTTCTGAACCACACATATTCCATTCTTACACACTTAACTATTAATAGACAAATAAACCCATTATATTCAGTCCTTTAACCAACAGGTACAGGTTCTTTCCTGGCCTTTCATTTAATCAGCTTTTACTTTACTTAAGTATTCAAAAATTTTTCGAAGAAATATTGCCTTTGAACTTGTGGAAATGTGTTCTTGACAACACAAGAAGAGAAGCCAACGTGACTATAGCAACAGGGATTGCAGTGATGGCACCACAAGCCAAGAAATGCTGACAGAGCTAGAAGAGGCAAGGAACAGATTCGTCTCTGCAGCCTCTGGAGGGGGCCCTACTGATGCCTTGATTTCAGCCCAGTGAAACTGATTGAAAAAAATAGGTATCTATTGTTTTAAGATAGCAAGTTTGTACAGAGGCAACAAAAAATACATCAAACTTGGTGTATTTGTTCAATGTGTTTTATTTAGCTCCATTGATCTGTTTCATTCTATGCCAACCTCAGAAGGTAATTTTATAGTAAATTTTATTACCTACTAGTGTCTCTCCTCATCAGTACCATTTTCCATTTAAAGTTTAATGCTTAAATGTGTCTGAATCTAAGCTGTGTACTGACTTTGCACACTCTAGCTAGAGAATTTTTCTTCTTACATTGGAAAAATTGACAACTAAGATACAGCAAATAAACCAATTGTAATTACACTCTTTTAAGCAATAAATAAATAGACTATAAGCCATGATGCCCACTCACTCCATTTCAGTCTGGGAGGAAATGGACTGATCAAGAGTCAGCTTTCTTCTCTGGAGAGAAGCTAGTGGTATAGACAGGAAAATAACAAAAGCCAGTTGAGTTGTTGGGCTACAATACTGACCTTGCTTGTTCAGTTGTTTTTAACCCTAATTTAATCTAATGACTTTTCCTATAAGACCAACCTAATAACTAACAGCCATAATTCAGCCAGAAGGGATCATTCTCACCCTACCAATCGCCAGTTATATCCATCCTTAGGAATAATATGAGGAATAATATGAGGAATAATATTAGCCTACTCTTGACCACAGGTGGGAGAATTAGGGAATTAATTATTTGTGCAACTTCTTTATTTTCATTATTTTTATCGACAACACTAAAAGATAAGACTTTTGAAAAGGAAACTGTGCTAGTATTGTTTAAAGCAGTCAAAACATGAAAATGAGGTGGGGTATTTGGAACAAGCTACTACAAATTAACTATGCAAATGCCTCCTGCAATTTACTAATAAGAATTGAATAAAGTAGCTGAAAAACATTTATTAAAAACATTCCCACATACCTCAGAAAGAAAAAGGTAGCAATAAAAATTAAATGTCTAGAAAAAATTTAATTATCTTAAAACAACGAAGTTTTATGGAAAAGAATGACATAGATAGATGGAAAGAAATATTAAGCTCTCAAATATTCAAGTAAACTAAATATATATTTTATGAGTTTAATTATTCACAAATAAAATTATACATTTAATTCAACCACAAAGCCTAAATTAAAATTTTGAATATACAAGTTTAATCCATTTTTTTCTCTCTTTAACAAACATCTACTGATTATGAACAATGTGAAAAAGCTTACACTAGGTTCTGCAGAAATAGCAGTGATTAAAAAACATAACTCGTCTTAATTCTGTGAGAGGGTAAATAAGAAGAGATACCAATAAGATTTTGAAGAAGAATATACTGATGAGTCTAATCTGAGGTTCACATTTTAAAGTCACTTCCTGTTTTAATTTCCCTCACACACACAGGGTATATATCCAAACTTGACTCTAAAGGAAAATGCATCACATTTTCCCTACAAGAAACAGCAGGTAGAAAGGGCTGTCAAATTTTACCACAGATACAGAGAGTGAGAAAATGAAAATAATTGTGACTTATGAAAATTTCTCACGGAGCTATTAAAAAGCATGTGTTTGAGGAGAGCACTTGACGAAGTGAGAAAAGCTCAATTTGAGACATAAGAAAAGGTGAAAAAATCATGATCCTAATTATAATAGGACTCTATGAAGAAACAAAGCTACATATTAGGCTGGTGCAAAAGTAATTGCTGTTTTTGCCATTAAAAACCATGGCAAAAACAGCAATTACTTTTGCACCAATCTAATATTAGCAAAAAACTATCTGGATACAGAATTATCAATTTTGTGTTTTTTGTATTTTACACATTATCTGGTGTTGGCATGCAATGTTTTACAATAAGAAAAAGATAACAAAAGCAATTTTGAAAACTAAGTTATAATTTATCCATAATAGGGATTACAATATTGATACTAAGGGGTTATATATAGGAGAGGAGTCTGAATAGCAAATGTAAAGTCACATTTAAAGACTAGATTACAAAATCAAACATCACTAAATCTCTGTAAGGATCCCTTGAGCAGGGCTTCCTGATTGCTGAACACATGGTGGGTGGCATAGCCAGAGAAGGCATGGAAGCTCAGTGCCATTTTTCCCATACCTTGCCCTATGCATTTCTTTAGCTGACTCTTTACTATGTACATGTATATCAAAATTTCATGTTGCTAACTTAAATGTGTACCATACTTTTTTTTGAAAAACGGAATCCATTAAGCATCAACTGTCCAACAAAATGCTCTA